ATTGCTCTCACACGACAGAGTTAATACTACTTCTGTCAAACTATTTGAGGTCCAAAGAAAATATGTGTTTTCAAATTTCAAAGCAAACGGTCATGTGAGCAAAATGGGCCAAAGCAAAGAATAGAGCCATCATTATAAATGAAATCCATCCCCCTGCAGGTGGGGGGAACAGAGCAGGGTGGATCTCAGCGCTTGGTGGATTTTTATGCTTCTGTCCTTCTCCAAGGTCCTTTAGAGAACCTGTGCACATGCTTCATTTTCATGTGGAAGTGAATCATCATAAAACAGTAATGGGTTTCTCTTTAAACAGACAAACAAATGAAACAGACCCAGAAACAAACAAAAGTCACATTTTAGGTTCAACATTCTTCCTTAATTTCAGTAAGGAAGAGGTGGTGCTGAGGATACCAACCTCTGCTTAGGAGCTCTGCTTTTTATCTGGGATTACAGAAATGATGCTGTGTGTAGCTGGCGCCAAACATCCAGTGGGAATATAACAGCAAAAATACTTAACTAAAAAGTAAGGTTACCAGAATTCCTAATGATCATCCAATAGCACAGCCATCCTAAACCAAATAAACACAAAATGACACCACTGCAGATCAGCTTTGTTCTCTGCCTTCATCTCTAACACTGTGGAGTCCATGTGTGACTGAAGTCCAGGGCCTCTGCCCTCTGTGGCAGACCAGTCCCTTAGTTATTGTGGGCCTGAGAGTGTGCTGGCTGCCCTCATTACCTGGGTCAGGAATCGCTGCCAGCAGCAGCAACCTGGCGAATGCTCCAGAAACTGGAGAAGAATGCAGGTGCTAAGGCTTTGTTCCGGCCTTCTGAAGAGGCAGGTGGGGGAAAGTGTTGCTCTGTGGTACAGAGAGCCCAGACCAGGGCTGAGAGCTGCTTGGATCTGGATTTTGTCCAGTTCTCCTTCCAACACTGACCTTACACGTCTACATTTGCATATCATTGCTTCTTCCTTTCACTGTAGAAATTTATATTCCAAGGCTCATAACATAAAAAGATGTCTGCAGCAACATAGATAAACAGAATACATCTACGAAAAAGTTATAATTTCTAATGCCTTTTGCCTTCGGGCATTTGTTCTGAAATAAATATTAAAATCAGTGTTATATGACTACATGAAACATTTAAACTTGAAGGGCACAAAATAAGGCAGCATTTTCTTTAGTGGGAGAGACCCAGTCCTTCATGAATACATCAGGAACTTTCTGTATAAATGATCTTTAAAAATTACCTATTAATAATGACCGCTTCTTCCCAAACACATGTGGCATCCATCCTATAAATGTACTGATGTCTTTCAGGTGCTTTAGAGTTCATCCCTTAATATGGATGCTCCTCATCTCACAATAGATTACATCCCGATAAACCCATCAAACACTGCAAATACCATATGCGGAAACTGCATTCGTCCACGTACTGCACCGAGCCTTCTTTCTCAGCGACACAGCTCTGCAGCATTCCAGCTGCTTCCCACTATGACCTCGAGACTGACTGTGAGTTGTGGTTTGCTCCTAGTTACCCAGAACCATAGGAAAGGACTACATGGTACTTTGCTAGTCCTTGGGAGATCAAAACTATGTTCCACGTTTGAAGACTACTGCACACAAACCTCTTTTGCATCATCATACAGTCAAAAATCAGTAAGTTAAACCACTGGCTAAGAGGGCCTGTATCTCTGAAGCAAGTATTCCCAACTTTAAATGTCTGAAGATAACACTATAGAAGTCGTATATGCCCTAGTGGCAGGAACTTGACTCAGATGTCAGAACCCAGATATACATCTACTAAAATCCTCATCTTACTATATAGTAGGTGCTCACTAAAATGCTCACCAAGATGAAATAAATGATAAATATTGAGTAAAATAAATATCAAGTGGACCATTTTACATTTTAAGAGCCCAATGAAGACATGGGATAGAAAACTTGGAAGATAGGAATATTTATCAATCTGGAATGATGTATTAAGTATGTCCTTCTGGTAAAGGATCATAGTATGTTGGCCCACAAGTACATAGAAACCATTCACAACTTAGCAAACATTAGCATTGCACTGTGCTTAAGACGGAGACCAAGTACAGATGGGAGGAAGGCTGGATGGCAGAACCACTGGGTTTATCTAAAACAATACTGACTACTTTGCATTTGTTTGTCAATGAACACTAGAATTATTCTCCATTTCCTAGAGGGTTTTATCAGAGCAGCTATTGGACCACCAAATCCCCTGCCTTGAGTGTCTTCTGGAAACAAACAGTTAAAATTTTCTTTTTTCATTTCTAAGGATTCTGCCTCAGTTGTGGGATAAAAATATCTTTAAAACAAGACACATAAGATGACAGACACTTAGTTTTCAGAACATATTATTTTCATCTTTTAGCACCTAACATATCTTACATAGACTAATCTTTGGCTTAGAATGGTTCGGAGAGAACATCCACCATGATTTCCACTCAAATACTATTTTTCAGTTCAAGTAGCGAGGTGCACAGAATGACTATCAAGTCCATTTCAGCTTGCCCAGGCTCTTGCAGCTCTGCCTCTGAGAGCCTTGGAATGCAGGCAGCAGGTACCAGATAGGGGGCTGCTCTGTCAGCCAGGTTAATGTGTGGACATAAGCATGACCTTGGAGGGACTGGGAGAGGCTATGTGTAGGGTATTGGAATGACGTCTAAAGCCATAGGCTCTCTCCCTTTATGGCCTCACCTGCTATCTTTCTCCCTATTCTGCCCCCTCTCATTCTGCTCCTCCCCCCTCATTCTGCTCCTCCTCCCCCATTCTCCTCCTCCCCCATTCTGCTCCTCCCTCCCCCATTCTTCTCCCCTCTCCAATACCTCACCCTCCTTGAACTTGGGCTGACAAGCCACCCAACCTATGGGAATCCTTTCTGTTGCTCTAGCTGCTGTCCCTTGTCCCAAGCAATCTCTTTTGTCCCTACTATGGAGCAATGGTCTCAACTCTTCTCCAGAGCAGCCGCCTGGCTCAAAGCACCCCAGCACAGCACCCAGTGCTGGTGAGAAAAGCCTGGAACCCTTCGTCCAGACTATTTTCTGGTGTGTTCAATTTCCTCAAGACAAATGAGTGGAAACCTACACAGTATTTTCTGTGCAGATTGCTTTGATCCTTTATCCCCCCTACTCCGCTACAGAGAGAAAAAGAAACAACGTGGGTGGAGGGCAGTACAAGCTCACTTGAGGCTCCAGAGGATCCTCATCACCTAGACTTCTAGAGCCTGAATTAAAAGTAATCTGATAAATATTTAAAAAACTACAGTTCTCTCAGAAGAGCTTGCACTAGACCTGAAAACAGAGGCCAATTCACACAGTTTGACCTCTGTCTCCTAACTTTAATGCTTCAGATTCCTATGTATTCAAGAAAAAAAAAAAAAAAGACTCCCTGGAATGGGGGAGGGGCTGTTGTTTGTTTTGGGATAGTTACCCTCCACCTGCTGTTTGTAGATTGGCTTTTGTGTATTGAGAGGGGCATTTCCGTTGTGTTTTAACAGAAAAGTGTATCTTTCTTTGTTCAGGACAAGAGGTCAGAGCTGATGTTCAGTGCCTCTCAATCTCTCCCTACAGCCTCACACCAGAGAAACCCACTAGCGGCCAAGCAGAGCTGCCTCTCAGCTGCTGATGCCATGCCAGGCAGGACACAGGCTGTCCAATCCTGCTCAGCACACTTCTTTGGTCCCACCTGGATGAGGAAACAGAGGCACAGAAGTTTGGGCAGCATGCCTGACAGAGCTGCATTGCTGTGCACACCTCAGGTCTGTCGAGATCAAGCCTGCACCCTGGGCTGCCTGGGCTACCATGGGAACACTGCTGGAGACACATCAAACAAGGAAGTGGGACAGAGTATGGCCAGCAGCCTTTTCACCAGGCCTAGCCTGGCAGGCCAGACAGTGAGGAGGAAGCCCTAGCTAACACTACTGCTTATGCCACAGGTAAGTAGTGAGGGAAACAGGAGACAAGGAGTCATTCAGAAAATGTAAAAACAAGCCCAAAGAATTCAATATGATGTAAAGACAATACAACCTCTTTGTTTGATGAGATTCTCCAAGGGGCTCTCAATATGTCACAGCATCCTGCTTCATGAAAAATAAACATTCTAGTGTCTTGCGAAGGAAATTAAAATGTCTTCTGAGCAACGGAAACAATAATAGAGCTATGACCCGACAGATAAAATCAGAGTGTTCTAAAAAGCCTCATCTTCCCAGGACTGCTCCATGAGAAGCCAGGGGTTGCACAGACCTCACAAGTTCAGTCCTCGGAGATGTGTTCCCAGGAGGGGCACATCAGTCAAGATATACAAACAGAGGAAGCACAGGGAGTGGGTGTCGATTCGGAAAACACTGGCCGACCCTCTGCTACACGGCAGGCAGGGGGGCATGGCGCTTACTTGTATGGCACAAATCAGTATTGTATGTGGCAGAATAGGAATGGGCGTTGAACAGAGAAAGAGAGCAGAGATTTAGCATGGTAGAAAGTGCTGTCAATGCCCACAGGAGGAGTTGTGATACAGAAACGAGTAACTACGGGGCCTTCAGAAGTCAGTGGAGGAGAGAAGGCTTGTTTCTGGGGTTTGGAGATAAAGGGACAGCTGGAGGTGGGTAAGTTGACCGGGAGAGGGTATTTATTTCGAGATGGCAGAAGCGAGGGAGGTGTTATGTGCCGATGGCAATGATACAGTAGAAAGAAGAGCACACAGGATGCAGAAGAGACCGGCACATTGGAAGTAGGGGGGAAAAGTCAACTGCAAACTGAACAAGGAGGGACAGTGAGTTACAGGTGTCAGGACACTGAACAGGACATTAGCTAACTGTCTGTGACATCAGGGAGACAGTTCTGAAGGAATTCACAGACAGAGCGGTGTAGGTGTGCCATTCCTCAGAGCACTGAGGTCGCACAGGGAAGGAGTGTGTGCAAAGGCTACAGGCTGAAGGAAATCTGTAGGAAGGTTCCTCCATCCGGGTGAGTCAGCAGTTACCTAGTGCGGACTGTGAACTACCACACAGGCGGAGCTTCGCAGGCCCTGGAAGCTTTAGTTCTCCATCTGCTCCAAGTCTCCTGCCAAAAGCAAATGGTCTGAATGAAATTTTTAACCTACAGAACAGGGGAGGGGAGTGTTGCTTTTGCAGATTACAGGTTTACCAATAGGGAATCTGAAACCCTAAGCAAAAAGAGCCCAATACTTCTAGAGATTCAGCTGTGTGACCCCTGATCAAGTGGTACTACATGCCAGGCACTGTGCCAGGTGCTAGACACTCATGTGAAAGGGACAAATGTAACCCCTCTGCCCATGGCATCCTGGGACATCCTCACACATTTTAGAAAGCAGAGCACACAATTAAAAGCTGACAAGGTGAGAGTTCCTGATTGGATTCTCACAGAAGTGTGGCTTGTGCCCATAAGGAGAAATGGCTGGGATGGTCTTGTGTATGAGGGTATGGAGGGTTTGACTTGGGCTTCACCACTGATTGCTGTGACCCTAAATAATCATCAGTCTACAACTTAGGCTCGAGTTCGAGGTACACATATTGGCTTCTGTTGCTGTGGGAGGTAGAGAGTTCTTGAGCTCACAGATAAGTACTAGGAATGTCAGACACACAGGGTTGTGCCTTCAAAGGGAGGGGTATACAAACTGCTTTTTTCTACCCAGATGGCTTGGAGAGGATGTGGTAAATAGAATAGCCTGGTGACCTTTGTGCTGTTTGTGTGGCTGAGACCACAGCGGACCAGATCCTCCCCCAGATCCTTATCAGGAGCTCATCAATCTACAGAACCCATCTTTATAGAAGGTGTCACATTTACTTTATGAAGAGTTTCGATGTAGTCACATTTCAAGCTTTAGTGGGAATTGAGTTTATCACCTGGAAATTTTCATCAAATTGTGCCTTGCTTAAATATGTCAAAAATAACCTACTTGGGGTCAGACTCCCAAAGCTGAACCAACAGCAGCTACTGAGTTGTGCTGAATCAAATCACCTTCTTGCCTCCCACAGATCATTACTCTGCTGGCTGTGGTGGCTGCAAAGACCCCCACAGGTTGTTAATGAATGGTGGAAAATGCTATCAGGTAAAGGCTGCTTCCAGATTAAAAGAATACCAACATTTGAACAATTAAAACAATCAAGATCCAGAGTGAATTATTCTGCAATATAGAGAAGGTGGTCCTACTGTCCATCCTGGAAAGTTTAGATGGGATTCCTGTAATGGTTAGGAGGAAAAGAACGTTAAGTTCCCATCAAGTATGTTCTACAACTCTGAAATTTCTCACTGCCTGAGCTGAATTTACTATTTTCAGAGTAAAAAAAGAAAAACATAAGACAGAAGTTTAAAGATAAACCAAACCAAGTAATAAGCATGAAGTCATACTTATAGTGCAATGTATTAAGAATATGGCAAGAAAATGTGTGAGTGGTTATGTCTATGAAGAAACAGGCACTAAAGCAAGGGGTACATGGGGAGGGGGCTGGGTGAAAGAGTGATGAAGGTCAATAAAGTCGGAGGCTGGCTGGTCCTCCCCGGCTGCCTCAGCAGTCACTTCTGTGCTAGACTGCCATCTTACACCTTATGCGGACCCAGACCTCAGGCACAGGAGCAGGATGTTTTCAGGTATGTACCTGTGTGATGTTCCTGGTGGTGCAGATTCTGAAACTACTTCTTGGGGGTTTATGGCTCACCAAGGAGACCCTCAGGGGAAAACTCCTTGGGCATGCTCTGCTGGGGCTTTGAAGCAGGTGGCTGTAGCCTAGAGGTCTGTGAGAGTCTAATAACATTAAGAGCTGATGTTCTCATACTTAACAGTGTTAAAATGATGTGTTATATTTACCTCTAATAAGTCAGCTTACAATGGATTACCCAAAATGCATTAGAAAACATTTAGCCAACAACTTCAGGCCAGTAACCAAGCCATTAAAACCTCCAGTCAGGACCTAGTGCACTAAGGCAGGAGGCCCCAGGCTCAGAACTGAGATGTACCACATAGGGTACCACATCCTAATCTCTAAGGGAATGCTCTGGGTAGCATATTTTCCCTCCATTAGCTTTGGAGTTTGATCTCTTCTGTGAAATTCTTCTTTCTTTATTGACCACTAGTGGGAAGGTATCGGATTTTTCTTTTTGTGTAAAATCTTTAAAGATAGGTGGTGGATTTTATACATTTATCCATTTGGCTCACTAAGGCATTCTGCATTACTCTGAGTGTTATGTCTAAAAAGCAAGGTGGCTGAGTCTTCTTGTATTTACAAGTATTATCTGGAGAAACATTTTAGTAAACGATGCTGGTGCACCTATAGAGTCAATTACTCCACAACCAGCCACCAAATGAAATTTATCCCAGGGAGACAAAGAAAAAGAATAGTATCAAAAGACATTACTGTGTGTTTCAGAAAGTTTCTCAGTAAGCACGTTTTTAGTCTGTGGACGAAGAACTACCAATACCTAGTTTCTCATTTTTCCATGACAGCCTTTTCAAACAGTATGATAGACAGCACAAAGTGACCTATTTCACAGCTAAAAATGTCATGTGTCATTCCGAAGTCTGTTTTTCCATGAACAGGAAAAAAGACAGACGCTTCCCTAGTCATTCTTCTTTGATGGATAGGAAAGGATCATTTGAGCAAAACTCTAAAAAAAAAATAAAATAAAATGTGTGTGTGTGTGTGTGTGTGTGTGTGTGTGTGTGAGAGAGAGAGAGAGAGAGAGAGAGAGAGAGAGAGAGAGAGAGAGAGAGAGATTTTCTTCCATGAAAAGCATTTATCAAATTCCCTTATGGTAGGACCATTTGATATCCTTGACTTAGCTCACCAGCCAGACTGTGAATGTGCCAAACAGTGCCTGGTAGTGTAGTAAGGCATGAAGGGATATAAAGATTGCAATGATTTTCAGAGACTAGTTTCTTCTGGGCAAATAACTCATGAAAGTAAGAATTGCCTAAACATTCTCTAGTGATGTGTGCAAAGTCATGGTACAATGAACCACAGCAGATGTTGGCCTTTATGGACCATGTCTGGGTCCCATTATTCTCCAGTGACTGCAGAAGGTCATAGAACAAAGAATCATAGCAGATGTCAGCCTTCGCTGACCATGTCTGGCCCCAGTATCCTCCAGCAATGTGTGGAAGGTCATGGTACAATGAACCACAGCAGATGTTGGTCTTCACTGACCATGTCTAGGCCTCAGTATCCTCTAGTGGCCATGGAAGGTCATGGAACAATTAATCACAGCAGATGTTGGCCTTCGCTGACCATATCTGGGCTGCAGTATCCTCTAGTGACTGCACAAGGTCATGGAACAATGAACCACAGAAGGTAGTGGCCTTCATAGACCATGACTGAATCCTGTTTCGTATCTTCCCTCTATGACCTTGAACTAAGAAATTCTCAGGGTGTTTGCATTTGCCAGCTGTCACAAGAGAACAGGAGCACTGCCCTCCAAGGTAGCTGGGGAGGTGACAGACAGTCTGGAAGCACTCAGCATGTAACCTGACACACAGAAGTTTTGCTAGGAATTTTTACAGCAGAGAAATTATTTTTAATGGAAAGAAATTCAAAGTACCTTGTGGGAAAATTACTTCTCTGGTCAACCCAACAGCTGCAAGAAGCAAAACAAAACAAAACAAAACAAAAAAAAACAAACACGTAAACTGAAAGATTTTTTGTAAGATGAAACACACCAAAATGAAATCCATCATTTATAAATGAATCTTTCTAGAAGTGTGTGTGTGGCGGGGGCACTGCATTAAGTTTGTTACCTGTTTAAAGAGAGTGCTCATGTTTGTTATGCTGCCTTTTAGTCCCTAATGTGATTTTTTTCTCTGTGTTTTCTCCTTTTCAGCATGTCTTCCATATTTCATTATACTGGCATTTAGGGAGTTTATTTTTTTTTAAGCATTATAAATGCAATTATACTTTTAATGTCCATCTTCCTACAAATGCTGAAACCACTTGTAAGCTGTAGGGACTTAAATGAAGTTTTGTAGATTCCTCCAAGTTTTCTATGTATACAATCTTGTCAGATAAGCTAAACAGAGAAGAATTACCTATTATAAGAAAAGTAGGCTAATGATATGGAACCAGTTTAGATTCCCACCAGCAGATGAATGGATAGAGAAAATGTGGGCTACATACACACTGGAGTTTTAGTTAGCCATACAGAGAAGCTTAGCTTCCATGCTTGCATGGCCAGCACTTTACTGACTGAGACATCTACCCAGCAACACAGATATAACCATATCTACCTACCTACCTACCTGCCTATTTCCCTCTTCTTAGAAGTAGGAAGGAAGCCAGTGGAGGAGGAGTGTGGTAAGGGCAGGAAATGGAGGGGAACACAAAGCCCATGATGTCTGAGATAGCACAATGAAGCTCATTTCTGTGCTTTTTAAAATAACTGAAAGTATAATAAGAAGTAGGCTAAATGAATGAGAAGAAAGATGAGTAGCAAGCAAACCTTCCCTTCCTTTACTTGCAAACATGCAAAATATTATCTAAAATTTATACAGGAAAGAGAAGAAGCCGAAAGAGCTAAAACAGTTCTGAAAAGAAGACTGGGGTTGCTCTCCTGGTTTCAAAACTTCCTGCATAGACAGAGACATCCGAACGGCACAGGGCAGTGGAGGGACAGACACACAGACCACTGGAATAAACAGCCCCACACCAGTACAGCCAACTCGTGTCAGAAGCTCAACGAGAATTCACTGGAGGAACAGACTGTTTATCCAACAAACAGTGCGGAGACTACTGGATTCCAGGGGCCAAAACATGAATGACCTCAACCCCTCACCCTGAAATGCACTCAGAGAAGTTAATTTTGTACAGAATCAATCAGAAAAAAAAGAAACAGGAGTTTTTTTGTAACTCAATAGGAAAGGATCCACAATTTAGGTCGAACGAGGCATTCTCAAACATGATACAGAAAGTGTGATCCACATAAGAATGAAGAAAATAGATAAATTTGCTCAAATCAGGAAGATGGGGCTGTGTTTATTAAATTACTCCAAAGCTCTAAAATGAAACTTTTTTGTTGTTGCCGAGGGAAGTCATTTCCTGTTACTGTGAGTCAGG